GAAAGAGAGGGAAAGGGAAGGAAGGAAGGAAGGAAAGAAGGAAGGAAGGAAGGAAGGAAGGAAGGAAGGAAGGAAGGAAGGAAGGTAGGTCAGAGAGCTAATAGGCAGAAGAAGTTGTTCTTGAATGGAAGCAGCATGTTTAAAGTCACATCTGAAAGCTGTAACCGGGGGAGAAAACCCCAGGAGAAAAGAGCTGACAGGACAGGGAGGCAAGGTGCTCTGCTAGGGAGAAGCTGTGCAGGAGTTGCCATGAGCACCAACCCCTTCCCTTGCACTCTCTCGGGGAGCTGGTGGTGCTCCCAGGATGCCACCACCCCACGGACCAGCCTGACATACTCAAGCCAAAGCTTCTGGTCACCTTTGCCTAACACCATGGTCGGCCACGCCGAATATCAACAATGTGTGTAGGCTGCACACACCCAACACCTTGTGCAAAGCGCTTGCAAAAAGAGGAGAAATGTAAAGAGCAGTTGCAGCTCTCCCTGGTTGACACTTTTTCTTCAAGGCTGTGGCAAACAGCAGCAAGAGCAGGGTGGCAGGGGAGGCTGCAGGGCGCTGTGGTTTTGCTGGAGGTTGGCAGCAGCCCACTGCTGGGTGCAGAGTTGGTTGGCACCTGGGAATGGGAATCTCCACGAGTTTCAAGAGGAGACCAAGCTTAAAAGCCTGATTGGAGACGTGGGCTTTATCCATGGGGCTTTCTGCCTGGTGGTGGAGAGGAGTGGCTTGTTTTCCCTCTGAGCTGGTACCCAGGGCAGGAGAGGGGGATAGCATGGGCAGCCATGCCGCAGCAACGTCATGCACAAAGCCACGCGCAGGCCCGTGGCTCTGCCGCCTGGCCAGCACACAATCCCCCCGCCCCCTGCCCCTGCCCCTGCCGTGGGCTCCCCTGATCCAGGAGCAGGAGCTGCAGTGGGCTGGTTACACATGGACCTGGGCTGCACTTCCCATGGCAACTGTGGGGCTGTGATGTGTCGGCAGACCCGTGATGTCATAAGGTGCCCAACGGAAGACTGCAGGAGAACCTGTGGATCTCCTCATCCTCACACTCACCTCCAGATGAGAGTCTTGAGGCAATTTTTCCCCCCTCACGAGCACAGGCTGCCACAGCCGCACTCGTTGCTCTCCACTTCATTCACAGCGTGACCATGTCATTGCACGACCGCCTTTTGGAAGAAGCCAAGCAGGATTTGAAGCAGGTGCAGAGAGAGATGCGGAGGCAGATGAAGCTGCTGGACCTGCACCTGCAGAAGGTCCACGAGGAGCTACCTGTGTCCTGCCTGCGCAGCCCAGCCCTGCACCCCTGCTGCCTGTGCCAGCCCAGCCCCAGCCCCTGGGAGAGAAGGGCCCTCACTGCAAACATGGATGTGGAGCAAGAAATGGGCAGGTAACAGATACTTCCCTTTTTTCTTTGGACATCAGAACCCTCTAAGGCAGGATGAAGGGAGGTTTGGCAGCAATATCAGGAGCAAAGGTTGAAACAGAATGGGAAAGAGACATTTTCTCAGAAATTAGTTGAAAGGGAACGAGGAAGGCACAGCTCGTGAAGCCAGGCAGCCCAAGGGGAGCCACACAGACAGCACCTGCTCCAGAAAGTGTTTGGACCATGGCATCGTGATATCAACCATCTTGCAAACTGCATCTAAAGTAAAGTACACAGTTAGATCCAAAGATGTTCAGCTGTGGAACAAAGTTCATCCTCAATGTAAATTCAGCTTAAGACTGATAAACTTATTATCTTCAGCAGCAGCCAAAATATGCCTGTGTGCAGTGGGGTGCAGCACTGATGCACCAAAGGTGTGCCCATATTTTCCCACCTCAAACAGTAGAAGGAATAAGTGTCAGGATTTCTACATCTCCATTTTGACCACTGGTGTGATGATTTTATTTTGCTAATGGAGCTCAGGATGGACTCCAGTAGAGATAAAGCCCAAAGGTAGCCCTAAAGGAAGGGAGTTGATGAATGATAAAACCTTAATATTTGGGTTAAGGCACCACCAAACATTGAGAGACATGAATGGCTGAGAAATCCCTTGGCAATCAGCAGCAGTGGAAGCCTCTTGCTGCGTTCGTGGCATTCGTATTTTCTCCCCAAACTCAAACTTCCTGTTTGAGTTCTCTTGTGTTGCACCTGGAGATAAGACCTTCATCTTGGCAATTAGAATGTGACATTTTCATTACCTGTAGAGCAGCAAGTATCATCACACAATCTGCCATGTGTGTTGTCCACTGGGTGCAATAAAGTTAGAGGAAAAATGAAGAAAGCCTGACCTCTGGGTTAATTTTACACCAACTTCAGCAAAGCAGTACAGTACTGTGAGGTTACTTTATACGTACCCAGGAGCTTCAACTCGTGTTGGGCAGATTTCAGATCCCAGTGTTCCAGGACTGGGGTCCGTGTCCAGATTTTCATCAGTGTATCTGGTACCAGAGCCAAGTAGGTACAGCATTCCCTTGCAGAATCATTGTACACCAAAATCCCCATGAAGGAACAGAAATTCAGTCTGAGTGGAAGCTGGGGAAGGGTCTCAGGAGGAGCCATGGGATGCTGGGGCACAGCCTCCCAGAGTGCTAGGCTCCCTGGCCCTGCCACCATCCAGACAACTTGCTGGCTTGAACACAAGTCCGTACCACTGCCATCTGACACCACAGCACAACAGGATTTGAGCCCCTCACACTGGGGAATCCAGCCATCCCCTTCACACAAAACAATGCTAGGAAGGACCAACTCTTCACAGCACATTTATTCTCCAAACAGCAATATAAAAACAAACCCCAAAACAACCAACCCCAAAACAAAGAAAAGAAGCCAACAAACAAAAAACACCCAAAGGGAGGCAGGGAGGGAGCCAGCTCACACAGACAATTCATCCCCCAGTCACCACACTAGGTTGAATCATTGCTGGCTTTAAGCAGGGTTGCTGAAATGGGTGTACCTTGCTAATGAACCACTCATTAGGGATTTCTCACCTTAGTGGTCATTCCCTCATTGCCCGCCCTATTTCCTCTTCCATCACACCCATTATGTTCTTAATTTGGTGCCCTGTGTCCAGTTTAGCTATTATAACTGAGGTGACTCTTCCATTGTCTACTTGACAAATGGCTTGAGTAAAAGCCAGCTTTCTGGATGAGCAGAGTTGCTATTTGACAGCATTAGAAATAATTTTAAGGTTTCAGTGAGCCTCCTGCCGAGCTCTGCAGGAGCATTTTGGGGTTACGTGAAGAATGGAGCAAGCTGGCTGTGGAACCAAGCTGTGGGAGATAGAAGGACCCAGGCAATCAGTTCAATTATGTAGACATTTCCCAGAAAGAGACTTATGATCTTCTTCTGCCATCCTGGAAAGTTGCTATGAAGAGTCAGGAAGCCCTGTCAGTAACCCAACCCCAAAGCAAGCAGTCAGCTCTCACAGAGGCAGCTTCTTGTCCCACCTCCAAGTTAATATGGAAGGTGGGGGCACCTGGTGGTGATCTCCTAATCAGTTCCCACCCAAGGCTGGCCAGACCCTGGGTGAAAACCCATCAGGAGGGTCTTTCTTCCCTGGTTGTGGACATCATCCATATGCCAACCGTCATTCAGGGCTGGGGGTTTAAACCCCAGCAGACCAGATTTTTTGCCAGATGTGTCTCCTATCTACTCAGTGCTTTAAACAAAACTCCTAGCTGGAAAGTGCAATCTATTGTAACTACTTGTTTAAAATGTAGATGGCATAAGATGAACACATGGCATTGTGGGCATAGGGACATGAAAGAGGAGTGCTGGCTTTTCTGTATTTGGGTAAAAGAACTTCTTTGAGCTCTGCAATTGCCTCATCCCAAGAGGGGACACTGAAAAATACTCCTGACTGGTGTGGTGTGAGGTGGGAGCTCCTTCTGATGGTGCAGGCACCACCCCAAGTTCTGTGTGTCAGCATGAAGATGGATCCAATAGTTTCCTATCTATTTCTTTCGTCCCTAAGGTGATCCACCCATTCCTCTGTGAGTCCACTGTCCACTTGTCTTTGTTTCAGCATGCAAAGAAGACTTGACAGGACGTTGAACTCTTCCCATGATCGCAAGCTTCTGGCTTCGATGGATGTGAAGGGTTTTGACCCCAAGGAGGTCACTGTAACGGTGACAGATGGGAAGGTGAAGGTGGTAGCGGAGCACAGGGAGGAACACACCACTGCAAGAGGGAAGGAGTACAACTACAGAAAAACCACAAAGGAGCTCAGCCTGCCGCCAGGGGTGAGCGAGGACGAGGTGACCTACTCACTGGGACCCAGCAGCATTGTGGAGATCCAAACAGCACGACGGTGCTGCTGCTGTGCCCCGGGGCGCTGCTGAGCCACAGCGGGGAGCAGCCCCCGGGGGCAGTCGTTCCCCTGCCACAGCCCTCCCCCCATCGGCTTCAGCTGTGTCCCGCTAGTGGTGAACTAGCAGCTCCTAGGGCCTCTTCCCAAGTAAAATACAGCATTCTCAGCAGATGTGTGTGAGCCTCATTTCCAAGGGGTTTGGTGGGGAAATGGAAAATGCAAATATGTTTCAGGGCTTCCTTGGCTGTGGTCACTTGCTGGGGACTGGAGGCACGTCTGGAGGCAGCGTGGTTTGGGGTGAATGTTGCTGTTGCACAGTCTCATGGATTTCAAAGGCTGAAAGGCACCACCTATGATCAGCCACATTTCTGTAAGGACACTTTTCTCAAACCCACCACTTTCATTTGATCTGTATCTTCCTAGGAGCGGAATAAAACTCTGATAAAAAACACCTCAAGGGGAGGAGCCTCTTCCTGAAAAAATGAGCTCTGCTGTTTGTCCCCCTTGGATTAGTTCTTGCAGAGGCTGCCAGGCTGGGCAGAGCCATGGCTTGAAGGACAGAGCTTTTCCTTAGAAGATGTTTGGATTAGGGCAGTGTGCTTACCAGCTGAAGAGGGGATGACTAAAGTGGTTCCTGCTGTAGGAATTGATAGCTCCAAATTAATAAGAAAACATTTCTTGTGTTGGAAGAGGGGAGAATTGTCAATGTATTTTCTTCAAGGTAACATTAACGAAAAATTTAAGGTCCAAAGTGGGATCTCACCGAGCCACAGCCTTCTCATTCTCCCTGAGCCCAGGGACCAGCAGGGTCAGTGGGATGGGGGTGACACCAAGGGACAGATTTCCAGGGAGATTGTATTTGCTGACCCTGATCTCAGCACTGGGGCATGCACTCCTGCAGGGAGCAGCACCAGCTTCCACTGCAGAAAGGCACAGAACAGGGCAATATACCTGATACCTGCACTTGTGAGCTGCCTGAGCAAGCTCCCTCTCCAGCGAGCACCACCTGGTTCAGGCTTCATGAGCCCCTGGGACACGGGAGGAAGGTTGCCACCTCTTTTGGTAGCAACAAATTCACTTTGGTGCAAGAAATGAGATGCTTTTGGCATGTTTGCAGTATCCAGCTAGCACTTAAGAAAACAGCCGATACTAAATTCTAAGCTTTGTGGGCTTGGTGTGTAGTTGGGTCACTACAGAACCATATAACTATGGAATGGTTTGGGAAAGGTCATCTAGTCCAACTGCCTTGCCATGGGGAGGACCGTCTTTCACTAGATCAGGTTGCTTAGAGCCACGTCCAACCTGACCTTGAACATTTCCAATGACAGGGCATTCACAGCTCCTCTGGGCACCCTGCTCCATTGTCTCATCAACCTCAACACAGATAATTTCTTCCTTATGTCCAATCTAATTCCACCCTCTTGCAGTTTATAGGCCCTTGTCCCATCACCACACGCCTGGGTAAAAAGTCAGTCTCCATCATTCTTATAAGCCCCCTCTATATATTGAAAGGCTGCTTACAAACAGGTAGCCTGATTCTGCCATTGTTGCTTGAGGACGTTTAGAAACAAGCCATACCTCAACTAGGAGGTTGCAAGGGAGCCTCCTGTGAGAGCAGGCAGCTGGGACAGGGACTGTGGACACTATAGACCCCTGAGAAGACCATTTTCTTACAAAACAACCCACTGAGTAATAAAACAGAAACCCCTTTGGGATACAGTCTTCTCACTTTGTAACTATTGCTACAGAAGCTGGCCAAGCATGCAGAAGAGAAATGTACTTCAACACCTCCCATCTACCCATGACTTCAGATCTGCAGAAGATATCGAGTCCCACAGTGATCACAGGGCTGGCTGTGACTGCTCTTACCCTTATTGCTCATCTTTTAAGATGTGTTCTTCACACTTTGTTCCTAAATTAGGCTCCTAGAAGCAAGTTACGCTTCTGAGCAGCAATACTTTATTGACAGATATGATTTCATTCTCAGATTTCAAAACTAGAAGACATCATCAGGTCATCTGGCCAAATCTCTTCTTACATTATCTTATGCTGCAAATAAACTGCCCAAAGTCTAACTTCCAGGAAGGTATCTGGTCTTTATTTGAAGCCTTCAGGAGGTGGACATTAGCACCTCTCTTTTTATTTTGCTCCAATTACTGGTTTCCTTGTAATTAAAAGCCATCCTTGTTACTAACACGAGATTGTCTGGCATCATCTGTGTATTTTTTTTTTTTTCTGCCAGGTGACAAAAGCCCTCAGAAGCTGACTTTGTAGTTACTCAGTAGTAGCTGTGAACTTCTCCTACATTGTAAGCAAGTCGCTTTTCTATCTTGAGGTCCTGAAGTTTCTCATTGTAAGACTTGATGTCCAAGTCTTTAATAATTTTAGATCATTCTTGTCCCCTTTTTTTAAGTTTCCAGAGCCCTTGGCAAAGGTGGCCACCAGGGCTGGCTGCAGTAATTCCTGCTCCCCCATCAATACAGCGTATGGAGGTAGAAACACGATGTTGGCTTTTTTCTCATCCTTCACAAGATGGAAAGGCCCTGATATCTTTCTGATGCTGCATTGCACGAGGTCCTCTTGCCAGGTGGCTGTTTCACTCTCAGCCCTGCAGCTTGCTGAAGAGTCCCCCTTTGAGGGCTGCAGCCCGGGATGGTGACTTGTGTGGCTTCTCCTCATCTGCAGATGTGGACAAGGTCAGTGTGGTAGCCCAGGGGACTTGCAGAAACATTCAGGGGGAAGTATACTTCGGTTATTAAAGGGAGATTTAGGAAAAAGCTTCTTAGTTTGTTTCTCACAGAGATGAGCCACAAACAGCGATTTTTTTCCTACCAGTTAGGACTCCTAGTGTTTACATTCAAAGAGGACCTGCAGGCTGAGGGGCACATCTTAGGGGGAAATCTGAAGCAAATTCCTAATTCTTTTTATTCCCTGTGAAGTGCTAGCCTGGGCTGGTACAAGCATCTTTAGGACCTTTTTCATAATAGAAGGAAACCACTCAAATAGTCACTGTGATTCGGTGGCAGTTGTGTGAATACCTAGATGCTGTAAAGCCCTCGGGACACCCCCCAAAGCAGCGCAAATTCTGCAGCCTCCAAACACTGCTTACCTGAGAGTTTGCTAAGTGAAAATACCTTTCGAAAACCACCACTAACACAGCAAGGCATGCTCACATCAGCATCTCCCATAAAACCGATTCCTTTGCCACTAGGTGGCACGGGTTTTTGTCTGGGTTTTTTTGGCATCTGTTTGTTTGAATTTTACCACTGTGTAACTAGGTTTCTAAAAGCAAACCCAGTAGAGGTGGTGCTACAAAGCACTAAGGCTGGGACACACTGCAGCTGGGATTTCTCTTTGCAGTACTAATAGCAAATGGAGAGGAGAGCAAGAGTTAGAGCTGCAGTTTGTGTTGCTAGGCGTGCAGGAGCCCTCCCGACAGACCAGCACCACGCTAGGTTTCTGAACTGGATTATATCGAATTTTGATCCTTCATCTCTTCCCCCTTGGAGCACAGCTCCTGGGTGAGGCAGGTTTCATTTGCTTCAGCAGCCTGGTTCCACCACGTTTTTTAGGAGTAAATATATTCTTCAGCACATTGTTGCAACAGATTATTTTGGGGACAAATTTTGACCATGTTCATATGGCAGATAACAGATTTCTGAATCAGATACCAGATTTCTGAATTCTCTGGCACGAGGAAGATGCCTAGGAGGGTGACTTGGCTCTGTAGTTATAAATGTTAGTGCATTCTTGAACTCTAGCCTTATTGGGGCACTTATAAATAGCCAGAGCCCTAGGAATTTGTAACAGGAGGCCATCTGAGGATGCTAGCTCCAGACTGCTCTTCGGCTGTGGATTTCTAGGGGTTTTCCTGCAGCCAGGCAGCACTCTGCAGGCCTAGGTTGTGTAGAAATGTTGTTTCTTTCCTATCTATTGCAAAACTGAGGAGAGTGGTGCATCAGTGAGAAGGTGCGAAGCAGTCCCAGCTTTCCTCTCCTGGTGCCCTGGCACACTGCTGCTCCCAAGAGCTCGGCACTGCCCAAGGAGGAGGCTGCTGCTCTCCCTGCGGGCAGTGCCAGCATGGGATGGCCATTCCTGCATGGAGCAAGTTGTTGCCTGTCACAGGGGCCAGCCCTGCTCTTCCCCCTTGTTCCTTGTCCTCCAGGCAGCGGCACTGCGAGGCTGTAGGGATCACACCTGCCGCGTGGGGCTGCTGCGGGGGCACCCCACGGCCCCTCCACACCAGGCCAGAAACTTCATCCATCCCTTTTACTTCTGCTTGAAGTTAAATTTAGCCATTGTCCCTCCTAAGCAGTTGAGCACCTCGCTTTCTTAGATAAGCTTTCCAAGCATGTTTTCTGACATCTCCCCCGAAGAAGGAACTAGGGGTTTAGAAGACAGAGCAGGATCTACAGCTTCATGCCTTACCGAAGGCTTGGTGGATTTGTTGTCATTCTGGACCCTGCACTTGTCACCTCATCAACAATCCTGCACTGGATTTAGGTTAGGAGTAAGCTGATCCTTCCAGCATGCTCCATGTGACTATCAGGAAACTGCCACCTCCATGAGTATGAGGTGCATGCTCTTTCACCCTGCAGGTCCCTTCCCTTATCCCTTGAATAAAAGGTTATTTTTCCATCTCTGGCTGTCTTCTAATTTCCCCTACAGTCAGTAGAAGTGACTGGTGTAACAGATGTGAAGTTTGAGAACAAGTTGGGAGTAAGAAGCACAGCACAAGCGCAAGTGTTTGCAGGGCCGGGCCAGGTGGTTTGGCCACAGGACACTCAGAACCACACCATGTGGGATAGATCACAGCTCATGATGGGAACTCCTTCACCATGCTCTCAGGTGCTGTGGTGAATAAATAGCAAAGCATAAAGAAAACTCTGTCATCTTGGGGAAAGTGTCAAAAACCCACCTTCTACAACCAGGTCCCCATCCCTCCTTGGCTCCTCAATGCACCTAGAGAGCCAAGCACTCAGCTCAGAATCCAGGGCTGTGACCTGCAGAGATTTGTGAATGGTAATACAC